GGCCCGGGCAAGGCGGGTGCCGCCCCCCCCGCCGCCCCCCAGGCCCTGTCGCCCCGGCCGGCGCTGGGCGCGGCCCCCCGGCTGGTGGCCCCCCAGCTGATCGTGCGGCCGCCGCAGCAGACCACCATCCAGCTGCCCCCCGGCTTCACCATCCCGCCCGGTAAGTGGGGGGGCCGCCGCCGCCACGCTAGCCCGTTTTTTTTGTTTATTATTATTATTTTACTTTGGTGTTTGTTTTGGTTTTGTTTGGTTTTTTTTCTGCTGAGGGGATTTTTCTTCCCTCAAAGTTGTCGCCTGCCCGCCGTGCCCCGGGAAAGCCCACCTGTGTGAGGGCGGCGGCTGGCAATCAGGCTGCCCTTAATGAGGATGTAATTGGCGCGGGCCGGGCCGTTGCTAGCGCCGGGTAATTAAGAGAGTGTTGGTTGATGAGTTACTCCTGTAGGGCTCGGGGTGAGAGCGGCGGGGGGATGCGGAGGTGAGCGGTCCTGCCCGGGACAAGGAGTGTAAGGTGTTGGAGTCATTTTATGTATGTTTTGAAGGACTTCTCTTCTGCTTCAGCTCTTGATAGACTTGGAAAGTTTTCCTTCTTGAAAAGAGCATCTTTTGCCCTGACTCAGGTGGCAAGGTAAAGCCTGAGCTGTCTAATTTGGTCTAAAATGTTTTATTTCAATCAGTGCAACGGTGTCATTATTCCCAGCTGCTGGGCACTCTGTGCATCACTGGATTTTGTTTCGAACTCTGAAGTAACCGTCGCATCCTTTCAATTCTCCTTTTAGTTTCTTAACTTTTATTGCTAAAAACATAGGTTCAGCGAGGCTGGTGGCTGTCCCGGGCAGTGTCCCCTTGTCCCAGTGAGTCCTGCTCCAACTCAGGGGTGTTTTGTCTGAAGTTTTAAAGGGCTCTGTGGTCCCCTGTGTGGATTCTCATTTTGTAAAAAGTTGTTAGCTTTGTGCTTTCTTGATTTAGGAGGTGATTGAACGAGGCTTTGCTGAATTTTATTTGCTATTAATATTGATATCATGATAACACGTGGAGATACTGATGTAGTCTGAAACAACTTACTTCTTCCACTGTGCTTCTTGAAATAGTTGGTATTTATTAGCAAAGAGAAGTGGAGCAAAAAAGTGGTGGTGTAGTAGCTTGATTTGATGTGGACTTTTAGTAGTTGTGGTTTTGGTCATAGTTTATGAAACTTCTACTCCAAGCAGATAAAGCTTAGTGGCTTCCTGAAGACCTAACTAACTTAAACAAGCTTGTCCTTAGTTTGTAGCAGCAGAAATTGGCCTTTTTTTTGTGCTATTAGCAGTGGTGGTTGGCTGGGAGCACCTGAGACTACGTGAGTGAGGGCTTTTATTGGTGCTGCGGTTCACTCACGGGTTTGTCCCAGGACTGGGATTTGTTTTTCTGTGTCAGGCACTGAAAGGAAGACTTTCTTGGTATAAGGTACTTTTGAAATGTGTGATTTATTTGATATAGTACTGTTCAAATTTCTTTATCCTCACGATATGTTGCAAACCATGTCCATTTACTATGGTGTTGTTTTTTTTGGGGGGGGAAGCAAATAATTAGAAGTGGATGTAAACTTTTACTTTCTTTGAAAAGTTAAAAAAGATCTATGAATCAATTTGCACATAGAGATAAGTTGCAGAAATGATGTCTACTGACTTTATCAACAGAACAAAAGTTGACTTCCTAGATCCTTATTTTTTGGTTCTCCTGTACAGCCAGTTACAGGCAAGATGTTTCCCTGTTTCGAAACGCAGTGTAGCCCCTCTAGGTTACATTATTAAAATGCATCCTTGTAAATTTGTAAAAAATTCTTGTAAAATTCAATGGGGCTGGGGAACTGCTCCTAAATGTTGAGAGAGCTGGAGGAAGCACATCACAGGCTTTGCAGTGATGTTGAGTAAGTCTGAAGCTCCAGGTGAGCCAGGGACCAACTTGGCTGCAGCTGCCCCTTTTCCTGCCCTGCTGACTGTGGAAAGCTTTACACAAGTTTTTCCTCTCCTGCTGATTGCTGAAAACTACTTACATTTAGGGCAAAACGTGGTGGTGCTAGCTGTGTTGTGTAGAAGGCCTCTATTTGTGAAATGTGTTACTAGAAAATAATCTGAAAGTATTACCACTTATTTCCAGAAAGTCATAGGAAACATGTGCCAAGTATACTCTTAATTTGAGGACAATTCCTTTGGTGTTTTCCTAAAGTATCTGCACCTGTATCATGGTTGTGTTAGTTCTCTGGCTGTGTCGGTGCTTTTTTCTTGATGTCTAAGCCACAGGTAGTGCCTCCCAATACAGCGATGGTGGGTGACAAATAAGTCCATGTTTTCATGCTCAACAATGAACTAAATCTCAAGTGTTGTATGCTCAGGAAGGTGTCTGGCCTAGCATTTGCATGTACACATCCCCCAAAGCTGTTGGTTTTGTAAAGCCCTCGTGTCATTGTCCCTGGTATGTTCATACTGAATTCTGTTCTCAACTACTCCATTGTCATTATAGTTTACTTTTAATGAATATTTCCTTCTAATTTCATTCTGTTGACCCTGGGTAGATTGCTGAAAGTCGCTGTATGCCTACACACTCAAGTGACTTTTTTCCATCGCTGTTCTCCATAAACTGCAGTTATTTGAATTCCAAACTGAATTGGGCATTATTTTTTTTGTTTGCTAGTAGGGGCTCCTTTTGGTCTTTGAAATAAAATCTCATGTTGCACCAGAATAATAATAAAAAAAGATACAGGGGCTCCTTTTGGTCTTTGAAATAAAATCTCGTATTGCACCAGAATAAAAAAAAAAGATACACTATAAAGGAAAAATATACAGTGCTATACATGACTTTATTCTGTAGTTAGTTCTTTATTTATAATTCTTTGTGTTGTTCCTTGTAGTTACTGTTCTTTGTTCTGGCCAGGTATGGTCCTGGTGCGCACGGACGCTGGCCAGCTTGTGATGGTGCCGCAGCAGGCTCTAGCGCAGGCTCAGATGCAGGCTCAAGTACAAACCCAGGGACAAGGTCCTACCAGTATCTCACCCAGGCTTTCGGTGCCCACCACCGGCCCCGTCTTTCGCCTGTCAACAACTCAGGTACGTCTGCCTCGATTTCACTTCACTTTTGTGCAGTACGTTTTCCTCTGTCTTACACGTTATTAGCCCACATGTTTTCCTAAGTGTATTTTCATCCTCCTTTTTTGTTGTGAAAACAGGGAATACTTATCAAAACACAGTTTATTTTCTGAAGCCCAGGACTTTTTTTTTTTATTTCAGGAAAAAAAAAATCTACTTTATAGAGTCTCTCAAGACCTTTTTCAGACTGTGAGGTCTGGAAGGCACCGCCTGAGCCAGAGTGTAGTTTGGACTCTCTGCTGCTGGTTCAGTAGGTGCCCCATGGTCTCTGAATCAGAAGCATTGCAATATCCCAGTGTGCTGAATGGATGCACAGGACAGCTAGGTTTCAGGGGAAATTAGAAAAAGTCAAGTATGTCTAATACAAGGATTTGCGATAATTAACTTCTCTAATGTGTTTGATTCCTTTGATTCACCTCTGTGTGTGGTCTGTCTACACCTAAAGTTTTGTCTGTGTTATGATTATGTTTCCTTTTTTCTATGGATTGACAGCAGAGGTGCTTTCCTGACCCAGACTCTTCAGTGGAGTGTGCTTATTTCAACTCAGAACTAGTTTATTTTCAAAGGTGAAGGTGTATTGATTTTTAAATTACTTAGTAGGCTGCATTGGTTTAAAACTTTGTAGGGACTGTTTAGCTGTGGGGCTCTTTGGGGCTAAATCTGAATTTACAGAAATGTAGAGGTGAAGATCTTTGGGTGTCAGTACAGGGCAGCTGTGCCGTGATAATAGTAAGCAGAGTTTAAGGTAATTTTGCCTTAGGTCTTTCTTTGCAGAAGCAATAAGGAATTCTGAGTGGAAAGAGAAGACGACGATGTCTTTACAGTTTTTTAATTGATTGTTGTTTAGGTTTCTTGAAATAACTTAAACATATTTCCCAATGCTTAACATTTGATCAGTGTCCCGTTATGTGCTTTGTACATTACACCGTATTTATAGCCTGAAAGATTATTAATTCAAAGCTGAAAACAGTGATAAACTTTTCAGAAGAGAAGGAAGCCAGAATAAAATCAGAGACTTGAAAATAAGTTACTAACATGAGGCAATCTAAAACCCAGAATAGCCAACTGGATTGTAAGGTTTAGAAATGAGCATCGCTAGTAGGATTGTAGTTGAGTGGAACTGATCTCAGGAAAGACATAAATAAAAAGCCTGGAAACACTTGAGCAACTTTTTGCTCTCAGGAAAGAGGTAAGTATTGGATGGAATTGGTAGAGAACTATTCGCAGAGAAAGCAGCTGCTTAATGTTTAAATTTGTGATATCTAGAAGAATAAGACAACTTGTAGAAGCCTTCAAAGACAGATGTATTTCAGGAAGAAGAAACACAGAGATAAGCCTGTGTTAATTTCGAGATGTTATTGACTAGTTTGGTGACAACAAAAATCCAGACAAGTTCTTCTTTTCAGTTTGTAGGTCTGTCTGTGGTTGTTTGGGGCTTTCTTTGTAAAGAAGTTTGTAAATCAGCTCTGTAGTAGTGGCTCCGAGGGACTGTGTAGCACACATTCCAGCAGTGGAACCTGAGACAGGGGCAGAAATGCAAACCAGGAATTGTGGGGTGGGACCGTGCCGAGAATATCATCTCAGTCTGTCACAATTGCTTTTGTGCAGAGTTGTGCCCAGATAAATACCCCCCCTGCGTCAGTGAGGCTCCTTTGCAGGTGTTAGTGTTAATAAGCTGGTAGAGAACAGAGGAAACAGCAAGGCCTTATGAATGATAAATCTCTTACAGGCTGCAGAAGTTGGATTATTTTAGTGTGATGGGATTAGAATCGGGGGGTTTTAGCTTGTTGGGATTCATCTCCCTTGACAAATCTTTGCAGTAGCTGCCTGAGCTGTGCAGCATCCTTTCTTTATTTGTTGTAATTAACAACGATAAGAAATAATTAATATTGGCCTTGGGAAGTGTACATTGAACTTCCGTGACTCTGCAGGCTCTTCTCTCATTTTTACAGTGCTTATGTTTTATATATGTTTGACCTTAGAGTGTTCTTCAAAAACGGTGGTTGACAGCCTTTTTAAAACCAGCTTGTAAAGGTTTAGCTTTTAAAGATTGATCGTGTCAGAACTACACACTAGACTTCTGTTTCAGTAGGTGGATGGTTTATAACCAGACAATATTCATTGGGTTTATGGGGAAAACATCTACTCACAAATATTGTGCTGAGGTTTTAGAACTTTGAGTAGTCATTATGTTTCATCAAGAAAAAGGATCAAGTTCTAAAGTACAGGAAATTGTGTGTGCTGAAAAATAATCTTTTCAGTGAGTTTATAATTAAACTTTTTTTCTTTCAAAATCAAATTCTGATGTATTAGCTAAATCAGTTAAAATTTTCAGTAGAAATTTAAAATGTATGGAAAATAGTGTTTTATGGTTTCATTTCTATGAGGTAGAGCCCTAGTCTCCACTGTGACTGAAACACAGAAGATTTGTATGTGTTTATATTTGTATATAAACATTAATTGTTTGAGTCTTGTGAAATGCTTTGCATGCATGATGAACATTGCAGGCCCTGCAGTTTTAACCTCTAGAACGTCAACTGCCCGCCTCTCCAGTGTGTTAGTGGAATGATTGTTATATTATGGTGCAGAGCTCATTAAATTTACTATCATGGTTTTATTCAATTATTTTAAGATAGCTTTATTTAAAATACAGGGTACTTTTAACTATGTAGGATTTGGTGATGTGCTACAGACACTGAGTTTGTGTTTTACTCTACCTCTGGGGAAAGTCTGTGCAGGTGGAAGTTTGCTGTTGGCCATTGGGTCCTAATTTTTAGCCAGTGTCACAAGTTGCTCAGCAAAGGGATTGTTTTCAGTGTTATAGTTAATTTGCGTATACACTTTAAATAATTATTGTGTTAAGAAAGTGTGTTACGAGCTGAGTTCGATGTAAAACACAGGTTATTAAATAACATGCCAAAGAAATTGCAAAAGCTGGCAGTTACTTTTGACAACTTGTTAAGAAGTGTTGAGAGTGGTAACTGGAAAATATAAAATGATTTGTGAATTACCTTCTTAAGAATTACAAGAAAGTTCATCTGAAAAATTACCAAAGTGTTCATCTAAATTTGAAAGCTCTTTGAATCTCTCCCCTCCACAACTAAGTAATTTCTCCTTCACTCTTAAAAAAAGGAGGGGGAGAAGAAGGAAACATTTTAAATGTTCTTAAATGAGATTGACTTGATTGATACACAGAGAGCTGCCCGGATTCTGACCTGCTTCTGCAGCCTGGCAATATAACGAGGTTTCCTTCCCATGTCCCAGAGCCATTGTTTGATAGATCTTCTCCCAGTTATTCGGGAGGAAAATGAATCAGGTTTCCCAAGAAAATTCCTCTTGCTTGCATTCTCTAGGAGCAATGGGAGCTGCTGGCATAGGGCAGGCGTCGTCTGTTTCCCCTCGGGATTTAGTGTTCGGGCTTAGGATAATGCTTTCCCTGAAGGCAGTGGCTTTATCCTTACATGTTGCATTGCTGAAGGTTCAGAAGGCAAATACCTATATCCAGTAGTATTTCCTTTTGTAGGGAATTAACAGTCAACCCTCTTCCCTTCCCAAGTTTTTAAAAAAAAAAAAAATTTTGATTGCAGCGCCGAACACAAAAGTTCAGAAAGATTAAGATACATAACTTGCCTTTCATCCTACATTAATCTGTTCTGTACTGTGCAGTGTGTTACCTTCTTTGCATGATAAATGCCCAAAGAGAAAAGGTTCAGCGAGGCAATGGGGGCACGCAGTTGATGTTGTGCAGCAAACTCCAAGCTGATGTTTCTTACATTTTGAGTGCTTGGCTTTGCTGTTTGAGTTATTGTTTGGTTTCTGTTGTTTGTAACACTTTCCTCTCATTTGTTTGCAACTATTGGGGGTAGAGGATGTAAGGAAATATAGAACAGCTTTGGGGAGAGGTTTGTGTTAGATTCCTGGGAGGAGACAGGCAAATCCATTTTGGAAGGAAGACTGGGGTTCTTTCTCGACTCTTAGATGGGGTCATCTTTGATTAGACGGTTACTTAACGCTCCTCTCAATTGTTGCTGTGTGAAACGTGAATAAAACCCGCTTGTTTTCAATTCCTGGTGGAATTCTGGAAAACTGGCTAATCAGGATAAGCAAGGACCTTGTAGGAAGGGTCTCGACTCCGAGTTTAATTCCAAAGTCCATGGCTCTGGAAAATGGATGTCCCCCCCAAAGAGAAAGCACCTTTGGTCAGAAGAATCAGAATACGGAGGTGACAGAATGGTGCAGAGAAAGCACTAATTGAGAGAAGTACCTGTCACAGAAAGATGTACTTGATATTTCAATGATCTTTTTCATTTACAATCTGTCTGGGTTCTTTAAGTAAAATATTCAAGAAAAGCACAAAGAAGGTACAATTGACCCATAAAATAGTTTTAGTTCCAGTTATAAGATTGTAGAGGACTGTAATGGAGGGATATTAACTACAGCTAACTACACTTTTTTTAGGGAAAGAATATCGCAAAATATTCAGGTATATAAAACCAAATAATTTTTCAGATTGTGAATATAAATGAATCTTCTCGGTGCAGCTACCAGAGGCTTGACTTTTTGGAACTGGTGTCCTGTATTTTACATGGAAGGACTCCGTCTTAGGGAAGATCATACTAATCTTTTGATGTGTTAAGAAGTGCAATTTTGTTGTACTGTGAACACGTTTTCAGTGATAACATGCTTGCTTGAAAAAACATATTTAATGAAATAAGAAATATTTATATTGGATGTTTAAAGCAAATATTGGTTTGAGTTAACTGTGCAGAATTTTAATTGAACTGTTTTCACTTCCTTTATGATTTTACTTTCCTTTTAGTTTTTTGTTGTTACTAATTTTAGCTGAATATTAAAAAGTGATTAATATAGGATCTTAGTTAAGGTACAGGGTTCTTGGGAAACAAGCTGTAATGTGATGGAACTTTGGCTGATAGTAGAAAAGCTTTGTTCTGGATTCTGGT